CGAAACAGCCGTTAGGGTTACACAAAAGAACCTACCTCATCCTCCTGAACATCGAAAGCTAAATTCCCAATGAAAACACAATTTTGTGGTTTTATTGTAGACATGCGTTGAAGGGCCGCATCGACACGAATCGCTCGTCCTGATGGAGCAATGTTCGGATCCGTTTGCTCATTCTCCGCGGTCGTTTCTGACGAAGATAGATGGGGGCGCGCAGTATCATCAAGTACGAGGCCATTCAGAGAAAGAGCAACCGGAACGCCAACTTTCGAAGAGAGCACGACATAAGCTAGCAGAGTTTGAGAAACACCAGCTGGAAAGAAATTTCCAGAGTCGAAAATGTAATACGCCACAATCAATGAACGAAGAATCATTTAACTGAAGATATCAAGTGTGCAACAGGTAGGAACCATTTCGGTTCATTATTGATAAAAAAAATAGTTCACCTTCTGCACAATCGATCCCCCGAATAAATGTGATTGCTGAGTCACACACGTCACATGATGACGTGAGTGTGGGAACCGGTTTAAACTTACACCGGTATTTAGAAATTCTCTTATGTTAAAAGGGATAACAGATTATGAAAATCACTTAAGTTGAACACGAACACATTTAGCCCTTTGCAAGAAACAGGGCGAGCCTGATATTGAGGCTGTTTTAAATTTTGACAAAAAGATGATTTATCAACGAGCCAAGGAAGTAAGTTAGCCTCATATCTTGACATTCAATAGACTAAACAACAGTACATGATTCTTTTTAGCCCAAGTGGGAAAATAAAATTGAGAATCGTCCAGCAAAATGTTTTTTAATATCACAATTGTTTTATGCAAGTCTCAGGAATTCAACATCCACTTGAAAAGGTAGATTAAATTTCAGAGGAGTGGAAAGTATGATGCATTAGTTTGGTTAGTTTTGCTGTATTGCGAATAATCAAGGTTAACTGTAGAAGATAAACCCATGTGGTCAGTGCTTGAACACCACTGCGCGCAAGCGAAATCGCACGAATTTGATAGAATAATCAAACGTGTGGACCATAATTCCAAGGTAGAACATTACGTAATTATGCTTGTTTACAAACGGAAATGCTTGATCTTCACAGATAACGACGGCTGAAACGAGGGATAAGCGTGACATCTAGTAAACCTTTCCATTTAGATGATTTCTAATGCTTTAGAATAATCTAATTCCTATTATCACAGTCTCGACACGCGAACCGCGTCTCGAGGACAACAGCTCCCAATGAATTGCGATTTCTACGTACCACTTCTGGCTGTTTGAAGGCTTCGGATCTGCAAGCCTACGAAGAATTCCTTGTTTTGATTTGGTCAATCTGGCTTAAACATCAGCATATCAGGGAGTGGTTTATTTTTTATTGAAAGGTATACATCATTATTTGTTGGAAGATAGAGACTCGAACAAGCATGAAACGCATCACACAAAAAATCATTTTTGACAACATTAAGCACAGACTGTTAACGCAATGAAAAAAGTTTAAATAGTACAAGCTACGTAGGTGCATGCCTGAACTGATAATCCCTGACACGATCTCCACTTAACGTGAAACGCTTTATTATTGGAAAGAAAATGAAAGGATTCGAGTTCTAATCGAAATCAAGTTGGGAAGATTAAATATTAATCCCATCTTCGAAGATAACACGGATTGAAAACATTAACGAACAAGTGGAAGTTTAATAAGAAACTTTTTAAAACTTACCCGAATGCTCCCCCTGGACCACAGCACGTTTTCTGGCCATTTTTCCGGTGCCCCCGGAGGATGGAATCACACCGCGGAACCTCACGCTTTCCACACTGCATCCTTCAGCGGCACACTGTTCGTCGGCACGCAAAGCCCGATTGAAAAGTTGTTTAAGATGCTTTCTCGAGACCGTGGAAGGTAGATTGCCCACGAACACCGTACGTGATAGGCGTTCAGATAAAACACGTCGTCTTTCACGTTGAACCCTAGCAAATAACATCGAGAATAATATGAGCTTGGTAACAAAGAAACGCGTACAACTCATTTGAACTAAATCGGCTACTCACTCAAAAAACTGCATCAGTAACCTATAACCACTCGATCAAGCTATCCGTTTGTTTTCAGTTGCTCTGAGTTAGTTACTCTAATGCGACAATTAAAACGATTTTTGCTCTTTAGCTAACTAATTTATTTTGTCTACACCAGAGCGCATTTTGGGTATCAACGCTCAGTAGGTCCTGGGGGTAATTGGGAAATTGGACAGTGGGTTATTCAGGCAGTTTCCGTCAATGACTTTCATCTTTAAGCCCACTGAGTCTCAGTTCAATTTGTTCGCTTTGTGGCACTCGACAGCCACGGGGGGAAATTAAATAGTAGTCAATAGTTCATCATCGAGCAGTCGCCTTTCTAAATAACTGCTCCTTTAGACTTCAATCGACTGCACTTGCCTTGTCTGTCCATGCCGCAATTAGTTGTATGATTTTTTAACTGAAATGTGAGCTCCAGTGCTTGCAAAAGTTATACACAATACAATACAATAGTTTTTCCTCGTCGGTGGCATACGCAGGCACTAGTTATCCATACAAAGTGGCTATTACCATATACCATAACTCGAACCTCCAAACTTCTTCCACCCGAAAACCACAATACTGTGCGGTTCAAAGTACGCTGTCATCGGTTACCCGTTCGAACGCACGGAGGACTCTCAAAAGGTACTTGACAGACTACAACTCCATTAGGTATACACTTTGCACCTTCAAAGTGCGAAGTAATGCTGCAAGGCTGGGTATAGTCTACCCCGGCTCTGATACTTGACGGTTAGGGATTAGTTACAGTCAATCGTTTCTTCTACTTAGGTGGTTGCGTGACTAATGACGGTAGCATAGTCAGGGAAGTACCCGCACGCATTTCTATGGCACGAGCAGCGTGCGCCGGATTGAAACATCGACGTGATGTTTTCTTGAAACTGAAAGGTCATGTATACTGCGCGTGGAAGACATCCGTATTCTAGAACTCTTCAACTTTCGATGTGTATGTGGTTTGGTGCAGGTTGGATGGTGCGAGCGTGTAAGCAACACGGAGGCAGAGAATTTTTGGGAAATGATTCAACGGAACATTCGTCATCACAATGAATCCAAATTAGTGCGCTTTGCTGGTTGGAACACATATTGCGCATACCCCGCTGACGTCTACCGCACCACGCCCCAATGGCCGTTGCTGATTCGTATAGGAGGAAATCCCGTGGAATCCAACAGATGAAGTGGGGACGAGGCATGAAGTTTCCCAAAAGACTGCAACCGATTGGTTGGAGACACTGAAGGATACAGCAACGAACTGACAGTAGTGGTTTTCTCGTTTTCTCTTACCGGGCCAGAACGCTTGAAAGTGTGTACGAACAATTAGGTTGTATATGCTGTATGTAGAGGTTCACTTCCTTTTCCTCCCTCCAATTAGGCTTAGTCCCTGTCCGTCTAGTACATTATCACTTGTATTGTGTGCATTATGAGCTCCGCAGAAATCGGTAAAGTTCGCCGCACGGCATTGCGCTGCGCGACGATGGTGATGATGATGATACCTTCTCTTTCGCCATTCCTGTAGCTTACAGCATCACCATCTTTAAACAAAAAATCCACAAATTTTCGTTTCAGTTTCAACGTCCCCCTCATACATCCACAGAATTATGCAACCCATTAGGTCTTTTACCTTCTTCCCCATGGTCATTTTATATTTATCTACTGAACAGCAGATCCTCGTGACTATGGGGTTCACCCAGTCTGCTGTTCATCAGAGTTAGGTGCGTAATTTAAAAAAACTTGTTTCCCGCGCTGCGTGTAAAATCGGCTTTCTCTTCCGCGCCAGACGTTTCTTCACCCCCATTCACCTCC